TGGTTTTGTTTCTTGTCGACTAGAAGTTAACCAGATATATCGTACATTAATTGGTGTTCTCTTTAACCCTACTTTTATATACTAATGGTACTACTACATTAAATAATTATTTATTTACTGAAAGAATGCTTGAAAGAACACAGAATAATAACATGCAAAAAGCAGAATATGTTCCATGGCTATCACAATTCTTCTGATTTTCTAACTATGCCACAAACGTTGTTAGAAATTAAGCAAAGCTGATCGATGTATTTTCCGTGGGAACAAAGTAAAACTGAAACCGAAACTACACATTGTTTATTGAGAAAAAAGAAAGTAGAATAATACGTCATTTCAAAGGCAGAACACTTGTTTTTCATTTGCTTATACATAATATAGGATTAAAAGCCAGAGAAAACTATTGGCAAATTCTGAAAGAGAGGACTGACAGGTGGTCGTGGCAAGAGGAGTCTGATTTTCTATTTGATAGCTCTATAACTAATTAAGATTGAAGGTTGTAAATATTATGGTTTGCCTGAGGGATGACAATATTATATTACCCCCCGCAAAAGGGTTAATAAGAAACCTAGGCCTGCCTTTCTCAGAAACGTTGATAAATAAAGTCTTCAGATCAGTTATGTGGCAAGCACCATTGTCAGGTGTACATGCTGGGAAACAACAAATTATGGTAAGTGACCATTGTCAGGTGTACATGCTGATGAATATTTAGAAAAATAGAAAGAATGAACAACCATTAATTGTGTAATATTTATGTTATATTAATAAAACCTGTTTATAAGCATACACATAATTAACACTTCAATTAGTAATCATGTTTAAGTGACCAGCATCTTGTACAGCTGTTACCCAGTGGTGGCGCCAGCACCAAAAAAAAGGGGGGGGAGGTAAGCCATAATTATGGGGGAGGGCAAAACAAGATATCTTGTACTCGTTTTAATTTTAATGGGACTCATTATTTTCCTCAATTTTTAGTGTGGTAAGTTACATTGAGCCAACAGTGGGTTTGAAAAAGTATTTTGTATTGAGTTTTGAAGCTCCAAACTACTCGCAGACGTTGGAGAGGATCAGAAGGTTTTTGACCCTTCTAGCATATCTAACTTTTTTTTTATTTGAGGGAGAATAACAGATCCATTTAAAAGTGGATTGATGAATAATGGTCAAAAACATGTACTTACCAAAAACACCAAACGGAACGATCCTCCTCTTCAACTTTAAACCAACATTAACCTTGTTTGAAACAAACCTGTCAATAACATCATGAAGATCAATGGAAAGAGCACCTTCTCTGTACACACTTGTTAATTACTCTTCAGTCTCTTATCTGTCATCTTGATTCTAAGGTTATTTTGATCAGTTTTCGCTTACAAAAGCTCTTTTCACAGCCGGCTGTGCTAGCTGGGAGAGTTATTGCTATCTTTATAATCTTGTAAAGTTCAGTAAAAGCCATAAATAGGGATTTGAGATGTTCTATAAACTCCTCGACTGCGCCAAATGTCGCACCTGAACGCTGATTCATTCTCTCAGCTTGCCTCACTTCCATTTGTGTGTCTTCAAGATTCAGCCTATAATGGGTTGCAAGAGGTTTAATAGTCTCAAAATCGAGTAATTTTTCAAATTTAGGGTCATTTGCCGATGGGGAGCAGAATGTTGGGAGATTTTCCCCACTGAATCATTTGTTTAATTATCCAAGAAAACTATCAGTGGTTGGAAACACGATAATTCGTTTCATGTCAGATGAATCTCGTATGGCGTCCAGCTTCCCAAGTGTGGTTAGAACTACAAAGTCATCCATGTTTGAGGGCGTGGAGCTCTGTAACTGACGACGATGGCAACGTTTCAGGTCATTTCTGGTAGCGATGTCACAAGAACGTTGAAAATAATGTGTAGCTTTCTCGTCACACAGGTAGGTTTGCAACTCTGCTAGAAGACTCTGAATGAAATCTGCTGTTTTCAAGTAACCTAACTTTGAACTTCGCAGCATACCTGATGCTGTTTTAGATTCAAGAAAGATGTCATTCAGAAACAGGGTACAGCATTTGAATGTCTGCTCAAGTTGTGGATCGGGCACTTAATGCACTTTCTCGATTGCTGTCACTTATGTCAACACTCGGGAGAAATTTAATAAAACAGTCAAACCTTGTTACAGTTCCATTTGCAGCACGCACCTATCAAGTCCATGGTATTTCCGACATGGTTTTAAATTCTACAGATTTTTCATTTGGGTGCATGTATTTCTTCTTTGGAAGGTAATCCACTGTGTGTGAACATTAGAACCATTAAAAATTTTAGCAAGTCTGAAAAAAAAGTCAGCCACAGGGGTAACAGATTTCACACTTTCTACAATGACCAAATTAAGACGATGAGCAAAACAGTGAGTGTAGATGGCTTGAGATATGATTTGTCATATTTTCTGTTGAACCCCAGATCACTTGCTGCTCATGATGGCAGTGACATCATATCCTTTACCAACAAGGTTTGTGACATCAAATCCATTGTCCTTTAACTCCTCCAGAACATAGTGTCGAATTCATCAGCGACTTTAAAACCAATATATTCTTCATTTTTCGACAGGTCTTTAGTTTCATCGACTAAGATTGACTAAACTTCTCTTATTTCTTCTATTATTTCGTCCAAAATTCTATCACTGAGGATATCCAAAATGTCATCTTGTACACCATGGTCACTGAGGATATCCAAAATGTCATCTTGTACACCATGGTCACTGAGGATATCCAAAATGTCATCTTGTACACCATGGTCACTGAGGATATCCAAAATGTTATCTTGTACACCATGGTCACTGAGGATATCCAAAATGACATCTTCTACACTTTGGTCACTGAGGATATCCAAAATGACATCTTGTACACCGTGGTCACTGAGGATATCCAAAATGACATCTTGTACATCGTGGTCACTGATGATATCCAAAATGACATCTTCTACACTTTGGTGCGTATATTTGGAATCTTTAAATCCTTCACACAGTTGTTAATTCAGGATCTGGGAATAAGTCTTTAAGAAGTTTAATATTTACAAAAGTTTCCTATATTTTCATCTGTGTCTTCTTCACGATGACCCCTCTGAGCTTTGTTTTGGACAGATATCTGCAAGTATTTTCATGGATCCCCCCTTTTTTTTCTACAATCAGCAGGTGAGCTTTTCTCAGAAAGCTTTCATTCTAAATAAGCATTATAATTTTATGCGTTGTTCAAATGTGCATCAGACTGCTTGTATTTGAGAAGTTTATTGGTTTTTGGAGATTCACCCGTGAACTATTTCCATGTATTGAACCCTTCAGACAGAAAAGCTTGCTCACCTTGATATTTAGCACCTGTAGTTAAATGATGACAGACAAAACAGCAAACTTTGTCAGTAGATGCAAAATATTCAAGCCAAGGATATGCTTTATACCATTCAGGTAATAATTATCGTCCACGGGTCTTTTGGAAAGTGAAAGACCAGGTCGAATTGGTCATTGTCATTCAGAGTCGACCTAGGCAGAGTTGGTTTTCCACTGCTGCTGCTTGGCTCGTGTAATTCTTCAACATTAGTAGGTTTAATCCTATATATCTTCATGTTATTTATCAAAAGTATCCACACTGTTGCCTCTTTGGTTCAATAGTCTATCATCTGTCGGGTCTTCAGGTTTGATTATTTCATCTTCAGTCCTTCGGCACTTCTCGCTTCCTCATCTTCCTGGGAATCCTGCAATTTATGTGGTTTTTTCTGATGTCCATTTTCTCAATACTAAGACTTGATGTGTCTGCACATCTAGGCAGAATACCAACTTCATGTAATTATTAACAACAGTAAAACGTAGCATTTAAAGATACCCCTGACCTCTTGACCTAGAATCTTGAAAAGCCTTGCATCAAGTACTGAGGCACAAAGTAAAAGCTCGGTACACAACAGGCCCGTGGTTGTTACAACTCACTTACCATAATTTGTTGTTCCCCAGCAT